TCTTTTCGTGATTGCTCAAGCATGTATTATAATGCATTCTTTTGCAAAGAGAACTAGCGAAGGAAAAGAGCGGCAAAGAAACTGACCAAATCTAAGAATTTTCTTTGTAAGGATATATAGTTCTCACCCGCACCCCCTATTGGTGTTTAGAAATCTCGGTGATCCAACTTTCAGTCTATATTTTCGCTTTCACTTCTTAGGGTACCCAAACACTTCAGCGAAGCTCTTATACAGCTGCAGACGCATTATTGAAAAGTCTATCCAAAGATTTACTTTCCATGGTGAAATTCAAATTCCTTTTACCTGTCCAACAGCTATACTATCTCCCAGAACAATCAGTCGTTCGACGCGAGAAGAAAGAGATGAAGGATCGACTTCAACAGAGATCTCGTTGTTCAACCAGCGAGACATCAATTCGAAAGATGTTGTAACTGCGGTCTAAAAAATGAAAGATTCCATGATCTGAGGATGAAGAGCAAGTCATAATGTTGAAAATCCCACGTCATTTACGGCATCACCAGTTAGCTCTAGACCGGAGATAAATGCAACTACTCCTCCAGTCTTCGCGGTTGGCCAAGGGCGTTGTGGGCATGGCGTTGGCCAGATAATCTTTTCAACGTTGAACACATCAGATTTGACCTAGAAAATCTTTAGTTACTGGAACCGGAAGCGGCCAGTACGTACCTGAGATCCGTATAGTCCTACAGTACAGCCTGTTGCCACCTCATCCATGCTGATGTCGCCCTATAAAAGGACATTGCTCTGATTGTCACATTATTTGCTACAATGGTACAATGCGGTAATGCTTCTGTTGCAGCCTAGAAAATGCCTGCGAGAACAATTTATAGAACAAAGCATGGTGCAAATCACTAACAGATATCCGCTAGATCGTAATTCGCGTGAAGTTTGAAGCAAACTGAAAAAGTTAGTGCCTCAAAAATTGGTTTCACAGTCCAGAAAAATTCCCGCAATCCTATGTAAACAGCGTGTAATATACGCACAAACAATCACTACATAAGTACGTTTGCGGTACTTTTTTTTCAAGATGCTGAAGTGAAAACGGCAAATTCAATCGCCTAGTCATCGCAGAATATCAAATTCAAAAACGCAGAAAAGGCGCATTTTTCTCGATTTCTATCCTCGAAAAAATTCAACAAATGCTATTACATAATTTGCGTCTACTGAAGAATACAAGCGAAAGGTCTACAAGATTTGGTGGAGATCCGATTTTACTGAGTTTGAATACTTTTTCATATCCATGTTGAAGTAGATCATGATTTCTAGAGAGATCAGGTAGTTGTTTTGTGG